TAATGTTTACGCCAGTGCACACCCTTTTCTTTGAACCACTAGTGTCTTATTATTCTCCCAAACCAAAGTCTGGCTTGGTCAAAGTTTTTCTGCATACTTGGAATACTGAGTTTTTTTCGTGGTACTATCATTAAATACATGACAAAGCATCTTTCCCAAAGGTTACTCCTTGACTCCATCACAGCGCTGCCTGCTCTCAGGAAAAGTCACACAGCAGTGGGTGGCATCTTCAAAGCTATTCCCAATGATTTCACTGGTATTTACTCACGGCAGCATGAAAAAAAAAAAAAAATCAAATATTTGCAGAAGCCAACATTTCAATCTTTCCTCTTCCTTTGCCTGGAAGGGTTCTGAGAAAATATTGATTTATGTCTGGGCAGAGCGGGCAAGGACCTGTATGATCACAAAAACATTCAAAATGTGGAGTTGCTGTAGAGTGCTGAGGCCACTGATGTGGTCAGTGTTAATTAAACATTTGAGTGCGTCTCCATCATTTCCCTAACAAGGCAAGTTGAAACGTATCTTTCCTCTGGTGCGTTGGTGAAATGAAACCTCTTTCACAGCAGTGTGTATAAATAACAATGCATTTATCAAGCATGTGTTGGAGCAACAATGACAATGAAATAATTGGACACTGCAGTGTTTGTCACAGTGTATGCATTGAAATGCAATACAGTGCAGTGTAGATCGCTCTGTTCCAATTACATTGCTTAAAAAAAAACTCAATATATCGTCATGCCTACAGTATTGCAGTATATCATTGCAGTTTATCACAATATATCATATTATGATCACATATCATGATTTAATTTTTTTATTTTATTGATCCCACACTGGTTCAATTCTTGTGTTAACAGCAGATGTGCTCCAACAGCCTGCCCCTTGGAGGCGCCAAGCATGTGGTTCCTCTGGGAATCAAACCCAGGACTCTCTGCTCTATGTGTAAAAGGCAGAAAGAAAGAAATCTCTACGCAACGGAACCACTGCGATACGTATCATATCACCAGATTCTTGCCAGTACACACCCCGACTGATTATTTATGATTTTTTTTTTTTGCCGTCGATAGATTCTTGCCAATACACACCCCTGCTGATTATTTATGATATTATTTTTTGCCGTCGATGTGTTACTTTCGACATCACTACTTAATGACGACACCTGTAAACAAACAAAGTGTTTCACCTTAGTTGGAGGCTGAATAGAGACGCACCAAGACTGTATGGAAAGTATGGAAACTTTAAAACTTTACAGTGCAGACATATCGTACTTGAACTCACACACACTGTATGCACATAATGAGTAAATAATACATGAAGGCACCGACTGGGCCGGTTGTCTGTGCTGCTGTCAGTTAAGACAGACAGGGCATTAACAGGGCGTCCAGACTTTGCCACTTTCTCAGAGCTATCTTTTTCAGAGCTGCTGTCCAAAGTTAACATTCCACTCTACCTACAGGACTCTCTGGACGTAGACTGAGAATTAAGGCCGGAGGAAATGAATGGAGATGGAAAGAAAATGCCAAAACAATTGACTGTAAAAGTAAGATTTTCTTTTTTTCTTCTTTCCCCACAGAAAGTCTTAAGTTTCACAGCTCGGGCTACCTCAGGATGTGCTCGCATACCAACTGTTATTCATCTGGGCAGACCTCATCAGTTACTTCTAATTAACCAGATGATGGTCTGGTGAACAGAAAATGAAGGAGGTGATTAATCACTCAGGGCACCACAGGGCTCACCACTCAACCTAAGAAGAGTGATGGGGATGGAACGAGTCCCTGGGTCATTTGAGCATCTCTTCCGCACCTCCAGAAAAAGCACGTGTCCAAATTACAGCGGCCGACGAGCAGGTGAGAATACACGGAGCTCCATAAACCTGACAAAGTCTCACGGAAAGAAAACACACTTTAATCTTCATACATGCGCAGCAGGCCCCCGAGAGGAGCAGCGTGGAGTGAGATATGGTCGTCAGGGCTTCTACTGTATTTCCATGACATGGAAGGAATGTTCTGCTTCTGTTGAGGTGTGGCTTCCTTTCCTATTTGCTCGCTTCTGTCTTCTTCTGTGGGTGAGCTGTTTGCGGTCGGAGCAATGACGTAGATGTGGAAAGGTCCTGGGTGCAGTCAAACTGGTAATTCAGTGAGGAATTTTTCATCTGGTCAAGGCTGGCCAGCTGGCTTTATAAATAAAGATGGTTGTCTTCACAGGAGCAAAACAGAGACAGAGGAGGAGGAGGTGGAGGTGGGAGAGTCCATCAGTAACCTACTTATCTACTCAAGGCTGCTGGAAACGCAAGGTGTTAATTTTTTTGCATCCCAATTACATGGTCACAGGTCAGATTTCGGTTGTTTACAGTTTTTTTTTTTTTTTAGAGGTTTAACCAATAAGAACTCGCTGATGCTGAGCACAGATAATCTGAACTGTGATCCAGGAAAATATTATCCCGAGCAGAATTTCTCCCACAGACGGTGTTTCTGGAGCTCATTCAAGGTTCCGCTCATGACTAAGTCATAAAGCTCCATATGCTGTGTGCACGATTCAGTCATTTTCAATCAGCCTCCTATATTCATCTAAATTAAATTACGGCTGTGACACTGTGTATGAGTTCAAAGCAGCAAATGTTCATCTTTTTTAATAAAATGTGACATTTCCCGCATGGCAGCCGCCTCCCCCCTCGGTGACTGCACATACAGTGTACCACTCAAAGTGAAACATGGCTACTGCTCTTGTCAGCTGCGCTTCAAGTGGGACTCTGAGCTGTTTTGCCTCATGTGTGTTTTATTGCCTCATCTTCTGGGCTGATTTACAGCTCTTATACAGGCCACTCTTCTGAGTGGTTTATATCTGAGGAAGATAAAAGAAAAATCATGGCTTTATTGCTCAGACACAGTGGGTCTGTTTGCACAACAGACAGGTTTCACTTGCTGCAGAGCTGCAACAGGCCGGTATCTCACCAACATAATCCGATCTGCCTCTTCAGGGGCAATAAACTGTCTCCCATGTGTGCAAGTCTGCACTGTGCAAAAATGTTGTGTAAAAACAGAAATAGTATCTGCTGGAGCTTGAATTCAATCTGGTTTGTCTTAATGTTGACAGAACTGACTCAATACAATAAAGCCGCTAGCTTTACCTGGATTTTAGTCAAAGTATTTTTTCATCTGCTCACCGACAAACACGTCAGTACGAACTGATCGACTGTTTCAGTCTGTAAAGTGATTCAGATGTCAGCTAAAGAGCCCATGTCCCTGGATACTGAAATGGCACCCTAACGTACTATTCCTGAAAACCATCTGTGAACTGTTTGTCATCAGCGCCATCGTGTGGTGACAAAGAATATAGCACAAAGCAAAGAAGAAAGTTGGTGCGACGAATTGCTTTGAACGTTAACTCAGCGGTTTAGTTATGGGAATTTATAACAAAAATATTATTGTTGTTGTTGTTTTTGTTGTTTATTTTTTAAATCATTAATATAATGCAAATTATTTTCCTGTCGTCCGGGTCAAAACAAAAAATGTGCGAGCGGTGTTTCAATTCTCAATAATAATAATGTAATGAATTTCTTTTTCGATCCGATATTTAAAGTGTGTTTTCCTGATAAAGTTCAGTTGATATTTAAACGGTCAAGAAATATTCAAAGTACAGTGAACGTCTCATGCCGGTCAGGGCAGCAGTAGCCAATGGAAATGTGTGTTGTAGCCATCAATATGATGATTGGTTAAATACCGGGAAGTGGGCGGGTCCTAAGTTTTGCGTGTTGGTCGCGGAAATGGGTGGATGGTTGGGATTTATTATTATTATTATTTCAACGTTAGTGTTTGGCTTCCATGGGCTATTTACAAAATAATAATTAACCGAAAATAAATAAATAAAACAAGAAGCTTAAACAGCATGGCTGCACGACAATAACAAATTAAACCAAGACTTAAATCATTGATAATTAAATTCGTGTCTTACCGTTAGAATAATGGTAGGCGGCCAGTGTTGCTGCTGACCCTGCCGAGAACAGTGTCTTGCCACTGGGTGAAGTCTCTCCCAAATGCCGGTTCAACTGAAGTAGGGAATTTTCTTCAGCCATGGAAAAAAAAA